TCGGAAGCTGAGGCGGCGTTCGAACATCTGAAGAATGTCCTGGCAGACACCGCAAGACTGGAACGAATCGACCCTACGCTACCAATAGCGGTACACTGCGATGCGTCAGCGGTATCACTCGGAGCTGTACTCGTCCAAACCGATGCCACAGGTCAAGATCGAGTCATAGAATACGCGAGTCGAACATTAAAAGATGCCGAAACGCGCTACTCCAATACGGAGAGGGAGCTTCTGGCTGTCGTATGGAGCGTCACGAAAAAGTTCAAACATCACTTGGTGTACCGGAAATTCAAGGTCTACACGGACCACAAAGCCCTACTCGGCAAACTTCAAACCGAATGACTCATCAGCTTTCAGGCCAAGTTAGTCACTTTTGATTTTGAGTTAATTTATAGACCAGGTCATCTACTACAAGCTCCCGACGCGCTGAGCCGTATATCAGTCAACCAAGCAGAAGCACGTATGGTACCAGCAGAGGAAGACAGAGCACGCATCATTGACGAATATCATACCGAGTTGGGGCATGCAGGTTGGAGAAAAGTGTATCTAACACTCAAAGAACGATTCGTGTGGCCGAAAATGCGTCAGACAATATGGCAACAAATCGTAACATGCGACCTGTGCTTCAAATACAACCAACCAACGAGCACGGTGGGAACGCAAATGACACCCATTGAATCGAACCGACCGAACGAGCGACTCGTAATTGATTTCTATGGACCTCTCCCTGAAACGGAGGAAAATTACAGGTACGCGATTGTGGCTGTAGACCACTTCAGCAAATACATGATGGCCCAACCAATAGTCGCGGCCGACTCGCAAACCATAATTCCTTTCTTGGCTGAGATTTTCAGGCAGTTTGGCACATTTGAAACCGTTCATACCGACTGTGACTCGGTCTTTCGCGGACATCTGTTTAAGCATTTTCTTAGGGGCATTGGAACAGAACAACACATAGCCCAAGCAACCCATCCCGAGGGGAATGGATGCTGTGAGCGATCAATCCGGACACTGATGCAAATACAAGCAAAAGCTGTCAAAGGCAAAGACGACGAATGGGCGAAACATCTAGCGGACTCGGTCAGGGCGTATAACTCGACAATTCATTCAGCAACGGGGGTCACTCCAACAGAGGCAATGTTCGGTGTCCCATTACGACTCAAAGCTGATGAGACATTCGGGGCGCAACAGCACAATTTCGAGGAGCGCATGGAGCGTATACACGAGACCACTGAGAAACATCGATCAACCTTCATCCAACAAGCGAACAAACAAAAACTGGAACACTTTCAACCAGGTGATATGATAGCAATTTGTCCTCGTTTACCCACAGTGCAGACACATGCAGCGGGAAGGAGATTCCGAACACAACGCCTGGGACCATTCATGGTGATATCCTACGTCGGGAACGGCGAGTACCATGTAGGAGCAGGACCCGAAGTGAGGAGAGCAAACGCGTGGGAAATGGTGTCGTTTCGTGGCTTGCCTAGGAAACCAGGGGATGGATTCGAAAAACAAATGGGACTCATTCACTTACCATCAAACCGAAGCAGCGTGGTTCACTCCAAGGATCACATGTACGCGAAACCGGCAGCAGAGGCCCCAACGCAGCAGGAGAGAGCAGTAATGATGGACCATGCATATGGACAGCAAAACGGCGCGCGAATTTCCAATCGGCGTCGTGTGTATTGGGGTAGCAGAAGAACATCTTCGGGGGGGGAGAGTAAGGCCGCACCCTTACGAATAGACGCGACATCTAGGAGAGGGGGACGAGAACTGCAGCAGCGCGCGAGAACCAACGGGACGCGCGTACGAGACAGGCTGGCGCCTGAGACACGTGTTTGCGAGACACGCTGGAACCAGGGACACGTGGGGGATGGTGACGTGGCGGAAGTGATAGGAGGAAGTATCGGCATGAGGGATTAAGCGGCATCCTGGTCTGAACTCTTGACAAGTGAACTTCTTATGTCTGACCTCTGATGTGTGACTTGTGAAATATATATCAGTGTTACTCTACACCCCGAAATATCTTACTATACGGAGATTCAATGAAGCTTTTTTAAAAGTAAAGATGCAGCCTGCGCACCACGTGCTTGAGAAATGTTCTCAAGTTGGCACCTAGAAGCTTATATTCGCTGCGAAGGCATTTCATTCCGACAGGGTTTACCAGTTCAGCTTTTGAACGGAATTTATTTGTGGAATGAAAAGCATGATGCGTAGTTCAGTTTGTGGTCCTGATGCCTCCACCTTATATTACTCCCTCTCCACCCCCCCCCGACCTACACATACATACATACATACACACACGCGCAACCCCGGGATATTCTCAGAGCACCAGTTTATTTCGTTCTCCTCGTGTTAACCCCTTTTTTTCCTATACCCTTAAGAAATAAAAAAGGAAAAAAATTCGCGTTGCGGGAGTCGTTGTCCCCCATCGACCTGTTCGAGGCCGCGTGTCGATGCGTAAGACGTCAATGTCGTACGTTTTCTGGTCGTTGCGACGGGATCCGAAAAGCGCCGCGCGATCTTTTTTTTTGTGTGTCTTTTATGCCTCGTCACGTTCGTGGTTAGCGAGGATGAAAACCGGACACTTCTCTGTTTCGAACGAGCTGACAGGAAACTCAGCGGGAAAGCGATAGATTGGAATACTTGGGTATAGGGATTTATTTTAGGCCGGACTGTGTGTTTGTGTGTACAGTACAGTATTCATTATTTTGTTTTGAAGTGTGTTTGTGTGTGATCCGAATGAATTTATTTTTTAAGCGGCGTGCCGTAAGCGCGGTTAGCATCGTGTGTGAATGCAGGTGGACACTTCGCAGCGATACTCTTGGAACCTAAAAATAATTTCTCGTACGATGTGGAGAAAGTTTTAAAAGAGCTGTTTATACAGCAGTACAGTACTGTGTATTTATTTAGGGTTTATCCGTACCAGGAGAAATATTCATAGTATTCTTCGTCTAAGAATATTATTTTAGAAGCTTCTGTATTTTCTGATCTTTATTTCGGACTGTGGCTGTGGAAAATGTTTTGGAAAGAAACAGTGTTGAGATTTTTCACGTTCGAAGAGGTGTTCTCAAGAATCCGCACTAGTGTAATGTTTCCAAGTGGCTGAATAGTGAACTGTAATTTTGCTGCAGCAATGTTTTTTCTTTTGAATTTGTGGCAAGTTTTCAAGTGTTCGGTATTGTATTTCAGTTGTGAGTCTCGCTTGAGCTGAGGTTTTCATAAGTTCTCGTCATGATCTTGGATGCTTGCGTGTAGATGAGTTAATTTTTCTGCCGAAGTGCTTTTGTAAAAACGATTACATATCCAGATTTTCCGGTGTTTTTCCGCGATTGTGAATCGTTCGTTCGATCTAATGGATTACCTCCATTCTCTAACATTCTCCTAAATTTTTNCCTAAATTTTTCTGTTGAAAGGCGGATGGATTTATGCTTATCGTCAGACGACGTTTTCAACCAGTTGAAAACTGGAGAAAGACCCTAATGGAACATATTTTATTATTCAGCAGAGCTTGTTTTTTGTTTTCTTTTCAAGAGTGGATCTAATTATTTGCATTTATGATACACATTAATTAAAGTATTTTGTTGAAGTTGAGATTAGTCCGATTTCGAGATTGATAAATAATGATCCAAAACGTTCTGATGGTCGTCACAGAATATAAAAACTATTCTAATCTCTCCCCCAATACTTGGACGGCGCTAACAGGAAAAATCGTATCATTTCATTAGAAAATGAATGAAAAATGCCCATAAAATCCTCTAGGGTCAATACATCCAAATAGGCGCTGAAATCGTCAAAATATTTAAAATGAGAATACTTTTTTTTTTTATCATAGCCATGCAAGTTTTCCTACATTTTCGTAATTTACCCGGACCGAGTCGAGTTCCATTCTAGAGTTGGGTTTCACAAATGTCGTAATCGCGTTTAGACCGTAGTCTGCGGTGGTTTACCAAGTTTTTACTGTCTATGATAATCATGCCTTTTGACGCAATCCTCGTTTCCCTTCTCGACAGTACCGACAGCCGCAGAGCATACTGAAGATAGTGCCGGAGGGATGTCGGCGTTGGCCACTTCGCTGCCATGGGGCGGGGGAAAGGAAAGGGCGCCGTTTCCCGCCGCCATTCCGGTTGACGTGGAAACCAAGCCGGGAGAATTTGTGATGCGGACCTTGTTCGCGGAATTCACGGTGTTGGCGGAAAAGAAAATTGAGGCTGTGGTGCAGGAACCAGTGAGTGATTCTTTCTCATATGTACTGTACAACAATTTTTTAATGCGTAGCAGCATGCGTTCGCGGAAAAAACGTGACGGAAAACCGAGTTCCAGAATGCCTCTTTCGTCCCCCTCTGTTTCGCATTGATGAAAGAAGGAAGCGAAATATTTCGCGCGTTTTCTGCTTTCGGCAATTAGTAAATTTTCTCTTAGGATGCCTCAAATATGTACAGTATTCCCTTCCCTCCACTTAAGCGGGGTTCTTCAGATTGAAGAACCCGCAATCTGAAATGCATGAGGAATTCTTCAATCGTAAGCCTTGTTCAATATGGTAATCAATATAACACGCTAATTAGGCAGTAATTCTCCAAATTCTCTGCGCTTTGAGTGGAACTTAAAATCCAGACTTTTCTTGTTTCTCCAGAAAATTTGGTCTCTTGATCTTTTCTGGAATTGACACTGTACTTAGCACCATTTTTTGAAAATTTTGACATGTCACTAAAATATACAGTATATTTTGGTTCTGCAATACTGTAAATGCAGTAATTCTTTCAAGTGGCGTGCGAAGGATTAAATGTGGATTATGCTGAACATGGGGGGAAAACGCAGGAATTCTTCGGAACGATGGAAGTCCGGAAGATGTGTAAGATGATCGTACTCTTTTGGTATTCGTCGTCTCAAATGAAATATTTTCAAGACGCCCGACGTATGAACTAATTTCATCTCATTGACGAATACTGTATAAGGTATGTCGCATTTCGGGGAAACACGGTAGAATGCAGTTGGAATTCAAATCCTCGACACTTCGCGACCACATCAGATATTTTCAACCCTCGAATCACTATAAAAAGGCGGAATGGAGCCTTGACATGAAAGAATGTATAAAACTGATCGCGTATAATAACTTGCGTGGATAAGGTTTGTAAATTTTCAAGAACTTGGGTAATTCCTCGTGGATCGCTTAGATTTCTTTGCGCACCGCGGGTCAACATTTTCGCCACGCATGCAATCAATAATGGCCATTGCGTCCGACCCTTTTCCAAACTCGCACAAATCCTCGTCCATTGGACAGGGTTCATCTTCACCCCAACCCGGCATGGGTTCAATTTCCCAAATCTTCCCAATGAAGTAACATGCCGTTATGAGCACGACCAGTGCCAAAAAAGCCCCGAGCAGACCGACAAAGCCCAAGATTGGCGGGGACGTTGGCTTATCCCACTTTGTTGTTGGGAAAGGGATCAACCGAGGCCTGGGTGACTTGGGTTTCCCTTCGTCGTTTTCGTCTTCTTCGAGGGAATCTTGGGTCAATGTTTCTTCGATTTTTGGGTTCATGGGATCGAATTGTACGAAGTGCTGTACGTTCGGTGGGATGGCGTCTTCGTCGTGGTCTAGGGAAAAGACTCGCAACGGTTCCTGTAAAGTTTGAAATAATGTGCTGAATTGAATTTGTATAATTGGACTCCCAATCAGGAAGGGCTTTAAAATTCTTGGCATCAGCTATGGAAGGTTACACCGGAAAAGCCTCTTCTAGACGCCAAGAATGTTCATTCAACAGCGAGCGAGAGATGAGTGAAACAAAATCATGGAAGTTCGTGTACATTTTACGCGGTTGTTCCTCAAAATTCGCAGAAGTGACTTACTTTTTTCATTGCTAATACAGTAGTATGTTAAACCTTGTGTTTCCTTCCGACCAATTTTTCGCTGGGAAGACATCAAGTCCACGGGTAGAAGGTTAAATACAATCAGAAATTATTAGAGGAACTTCTAATGTTAACGTATGAGGATCATCAAAACAAATTGGAATTGATTTGTGTGCCAGGTTTTGTTTGAAGTGATCCAATTCTGGACAGCATTTAATATTCCGAGTGAATTGCTTGCCATTTTGAAAAAAAAAAACAATTTCATGAACACCAGTTCATGAATTCCATTCGTTTTTCGTGTAAACTATGGTAAATTGATGAGGAAGATAGCGATGTTAAATTAAACTGGAATGACGATATGCCAGAGTTGAAAAACTTCAGAGAAGCTCCACGTACAGTATGCACAACATGAGGGAACGTGATTTGGTGTTCTTGAATCTCAATTGAATCTTTAGAACGTTGTCGGAAACATGCAAATTTAATTTAAAGTTCAAACCTTCTGCAATCGCTAAAATTTCAAGTGGGACATGTGCGCCTCTATTTAAACCCAGAAACTTTTTACTGCAGTAACGTAATGGAAATAAGCCAAAATTATGTGTTATTTGCCAAGAGGCCTCGGGTTTTGTCCGTCCGTACCCCATAGTTCTTGTTTTTTTCTTGTTATTTCGAGGATCGAATTTTATGCTATTCGGAAAGTTTGAAATGAAACTAAAGATCAAGTAGAGTGACGAAATCAACCATTATCCAATCTTGAACGTCCATTGCTTCACCTGTTTTCTTCTCCATCGAATATGGTGTTGCCCCGCACGTGTCACTTTTTGTGAACATGAAACCAAAAACAATATTGTGTAGCGATCAGGTATTATTGAATCCATTCAATTATACTTTCTCGAAGATGATGTTTAATGCATTCCTCAGAAATCAAATTCCGCTCTGCTAGGGAGTGTGCCTTCACGTGTACAGTACTGCGTCACCGAAGTTTGACGATGTTCAAATTTTATTGGCATGAAGTGTTTTCGGAATATTACTCGCGGCTCATCGTCAAATGGACGAAGGGAAAATTAATCAAGAAAGAACCTGTATGGCAGCGAAGTATTTTGTCGGGACATTCCGAACGATGGCGTCGAAAATCATTGGGGGTTTCCTGCCAGCGCTGAAGGCCCAATGAAACGCTTCCTTCGGGTCCAGTTGGCTCAGGTCAACAGCCGGGAAATGTCTTGAAACGAAGGCAGGCTTTGGCCTCGGAGGTTTCGGCAACAGGCGTGGTTGGTATTTTGCATCGGCGTCGGGTTTCTTGGGGTCACTGTGCAGCAATTTGGCGATGCTACCCGCGGGCAGGTTGAGAATCTGATCAATGCCCGGGGTTGGTTCCCGGTTCCGACTCAGGTCTGACGCGCGTTGTTCTTTGAGTGCAAGACGGAAAATTGTCTCGTCCAAAACACCTGAATTCAAGAGATATCATAGTACAGCCGAGCATCTTTGAGTCGAACTTGAAGAAACCAGTAAAAAAAAAAATACACTTGGAGGCATGGGTTCATTTGCCCCATTAGTTCTTCACTTCCATTCAAAACCAACAAAGCTACAATTTTTATTTATTTTCTCTTCAGTGAGTCAATAAAATAGTAGGCCTCCAGAAAATTCGAGTTATAGAGGTTTGAGGAGGAAAGTCTTCCAGTCAGGGAGTTTTTCAATACCTTTTTTAAAATATTTTTTCAAGAAAATTCAGACATTTACTTGAAAAAATTCGAGATTGGGAGGTATTCGGCTGAGGGAGGTTTTAGCTACCGTATTATGGTGATTAAACTGTATATAAAGAATACCTTTATCAAATACCTCCCTAATTTGAAATCCGAATTAATCCCTGGCCAATTCCTTCCAGTCCAATGCAGTTTGAACCTTCATGATTCAAAAATGTTCGTCAAACCTCCCGTAGTTATTGGTAAAGCATGTTATTGTACTGTACTGTACTTATATTTAGCCTACCTTTCATAACCCCTATTCTAGAAAATCAGAAAAAATCAATATTAACTTTTCAATCGTTCGAAGCTGCATGAAAAAAAAACAACTTCGGTACGTGTAATTTGCGCTGTCCACCAAAGATGATCGTTTTAGAATCCTTATATGAAGCAAGAAGCCTTGAAGAAAAAGTATTTCTGCGGCGCGCGGTTCCGGAAGTTAGTTGCCCGAATTTGAAAATTCAAGAATACGTATTAACATGCCTTGAACTTATCTCAGCCGATGTGCCAATTACTGCAATTTTACCTGGGGGAAGTCCAACGACTCGGGCAACTGCGCTCCAGTGTAATCTCAGGACTTTCCTGAGGTCGAAGGCAGACTCCGGTTTGTGCTTCTCCGTCGGGCTTGTGACGACGGCTCCATTGGCAACAGCCTCTGCCTGAAAGACTTGCTGGAACAGTGCTTTGTTCTTCGTTTGTGTGAACAGTGGGTCGTCTTTGTTGAGGAACATCCCGGCTGGGAGCCTGCAGTAAACTTTTATCATTTCAAATTACGGCAATTCATTCAGTTGAGCTTCTTTTCAAGGCTCATCATATTTGGGATGTGAGAACATCATTCCCTGACCGAAAGGAAATTGTACCTGCTAATAAGGTTCGATTTCGCGCTGCAACAGCGCAAAATTATGAATAAAATCTTGAACCGTTTATAACGTCAGGATTCCAACCCCATAATAGAAAATTCTTTTTTTTTGAATTTTCAGGGACAAGGGAATTTTCCGCGTGAGGCTCTTGAATTATTTTTCCTTGAAACGGACGTTCTCTCTTTTTTCCTGAAATCCGTAACAGGCTGCATCTTAGAGATTTTTTTTTTTCGCTCGTTCTCAAGCTTTTCACGTCTACACAACTGGTATCAACTGAAGTTTTCTGCAAAACAAAAAAAAGGTTGCTGAAGCATTTCTGCGTCGAAATCCATTTGTAAGAAATCCTCTGCTAAGCGCCGAAAGATCAGTCATCGATTGGGAAGGATGAAAATGTTGAAGAACTTCAGTATTTTTCCGTAGAAAAATCTTTCCTTCCTTATGAACGACCAGTGTTACCTTTAAATGCTCGCCGCTGAGCTGAATCTTTCCGGGAATCATTGATTTTGTTCCAACCCTCTTCATTTTCGAGGCTCATCCAGGGGCAAGGTGGGGAAAAATGTTGCACGCATTCTTTGTTTTTTTATCAAACTACAGATGAGTTGAGCATTGTTCTCACCTTCCTATGATGTTCCTCAATAATTCGAGTGCAGAGATGTACAGAATGTTAATTTATTCATAGAAGGGAAAAAACACATTTTATTCAGGCGTATACTGTACTACATGAATATTTCATGGGTTTCTCGGCAGCGATTGTCTTTATCCAACGTATTGGTTTTTGTAATCGCGACGGACGAATTGCCAAAAAAATGCAACAAAAAACACGCGGACTCTCTCTAAATACAACGATCTTGTCTACAAGGATTTTTTCTGTACAAACATATCTGTTTTGTGTGGTCCCATAGGGTTCTCTCCCCATGTAACAGGGGTTCTCTACGACGCATTTTTATTTTCTGTTACCTAGATTTTCGTTGAAGAGAGAGTCCACCTGTGCCATGATTTTTTCAATGATATTCTAGGTGCAACGAATTTTTTTCGGCCCCTCAACTATTTCAGTCAACGGAAGTTCGTGATAGCTCCCATGAGTAATATCTGCAACATTTTTATTCTCGAGATGCAGGGAACCCAACTGCAGGAGGACATTCAGCAATGATAACCAAGAAATTAGCGCGAGTTTATTATCAGAATTTCTCAACCTCTGGAGCCTCTCGTAAGACGAAATTCCCCTAATCGAAATGTAAATAGTGAAATTCTATTGCGTAGCCATTTTCAGAAGAATTTCTATGAGTCAATGTTGGATTCTACAATTTTAATGCGTTCAGGTATACAGTATTCTTGCTCATTTCCTCGAGTTACGGACGTTGTGATCCTTACACTTATTGGTACAATAATCTTGCACAGTAAATATTTATGTTGGAATTTTTCTCCAATCTGACTTTTGTGAAGTGCGTGCGTAAGGCAGAGGTTCAAAAACTGCAGTTAACCCTACGTTTGAATGACGAGATTTAAAGAAGAAGAATGCGGAAGTCTGAACTGACTTTTCGTCATTTTCGCCGAAAGTTTCCGCACTCCGCAGTAGCTTTTCGATCCAAGCAGGCTCAATGATTTTCCGAAGCTCCGGCGCCAGCACGAGCGTCGCGTCGTTGAATGATACTCGTCGGCGCTTGGCGTTGCCACCAGGCCGCCACCAGCTGTTCGGCGATTTGCAATTTCCCCGGCTGGTAGAGCTGGCGCTGTAGCCGGACCCAGCTAGCCAGGGCGCGAACGGTGGCGGCGACGCCGCCGCCGCCAATCGCGTCACCGGCACTCGACATCCCCCTCCTGTTGACTCGAGCTCGCCGCGTCGCCCGGCAATGTCAGCGCTGTCGAAACCCGGCCAGAAGAGCCCGTGACCCAAGCCGAACCCGGGGTCAAAGAGGCCGTGTCCTTCTACTTGTTCCGCTGAGCGGTACGGAGTGAACCCGTCTACAGTGATGATGGTGGCCAGAAGCCACGTCAAGACGGATGTGGTGACGATAAATCTTTGGGGCGTCACTTTGAACTCATTGCAGGGACTCATGACGTCCCTTGCAGCCATATGAAGCAATCAGGCATCTTCGTGCAGATTAAATACTCGTGCGACTCGAATTTCGACCTTTAATAGGCTAGCAAAACAAGCTATGTAAAGCTGTTGGACCTTCTCTGTTCATTTATCTGGACTTTCATCTGTTCAGTGTAGGCGTGAGCATACATATAGTGTTCAGCAGATCATTGGCAATACCTTTATAACTTGTATTCGGGAAGGAGAAGGGGAATGGGGATCTTGCAATGAGTATTTCCTTGATCGGTGAATGGTTAATTTCTGCCACTTCATCCGAATGACTAAGCAATTTGAGTGCATCATACCAAACCGGCTTAGCGTGAGTATCCAATCATCAAACAAAAATGATTTCACGTGGTGAATTAGGCCACCGTAGAAGCTGAGGAAATTTCCATCGTGAATATTTTCGAAAACACTTCTCTAGTTAACTTGCCAAGATTTTCCCCCCCGAAATTCATTGAGAATTTCTTTAACGTGGCTCATTTTTCCCCCTGCAGGATCGACCTTTGAAAACATTGCAAAGAGGAGAGGATCCGGTGATGGATCAAATCCTCAATTCCTTGGGAAGCTTGGCCGAGCATTGTCTTCCATCCATTTTGAAAACATTGCTCCTGTGGTTCGAAAGACAAGGCGTTGAGGATCACTGGGCCAGTCCGGATCATAAGCAGCAAAACAAAGCTGACCAAAAAGGCAAAAGGTACCGTAATTACAATCGTTTTTTTTTCTTGTAGTGTATCAATTATTTCAACCATATTTTCATTTCCCCGTGAGACAATTGTTGAAATCGTAAAGCGCGGATTTTTGTGTGCGCATTTATTTTGTAAATTTGATTTGTTGAAAAATCCAAGGTTTCAGTCATCATAAAAAAATTTTGGAGCTTTAAAAAGTAATTAAATCAAGGTATTGGCCGATGCTAAATTTTTTTAATCATCCATGCAGTGACGGAGGAGAAAAGTCGACAGTGGATGGAAAGCGGGACGCTCTGACGCAGCGACGGGATTTGGCCGTCGAATTTATTTTTTGCCTGGTCTTGGTGGAAGTCTTGAAACAGCTGCCATTTCATCCAGGTCATAACGACCTGATTTCGCGGATCGAAACCATGGCTTTTGCGCACTTCAAGCACAAAGAGGGGTGAGATTCTCGTCAGCTGTCCTCGATCTTTCTATGCCGGCTCATTTTCATATTTAAAAAAATTGAAATTCATTGAATTCTGTACTCAAATTTGAAGCATTCTTTAAAGTTTAAACTATTCGGATATGAAGAAGAAATGAAAAATATTCAGATGTTGCATTTGAAATAATGCTCATCGACAATGTACTAGATATGAATTGACATTTACCGTAGTCAAGGATTCGCCGTAACGCGAAAGAGTGGATAGACCTTTAAAAAATATTTGTCTTGTGGCAGTTTTTCTGCTTATGAATTCTGTTGTTGTCCCCGTACGGGTTCTCAATGAAATTTTCTCTACGACGAATTATTTGGTCACCTGAAAATCGTTGTAAAGAGTTCACCTGAATTAATACAGGTATTCAAATTTTTGTTTAATGCACGGGCAGTATTCATGGAATACCTGGGAAACTGTTCTACAAAACTTCAAACGAGGAATTTATGTCAAGCTTTTGTTTTTCCCGCCTAAAACACTGAAGGTTCACTGATTCGCGCCTAGAGGATGTCATCTAGGTATTTAAGAGGAAGTGTACATCAATTGCTAATTAAAATTCATTGCGTTTTCAGGTTGGAAGCGAACCCAAACGGAGCGAACATGCATTTGATCGCTGACTTGTATGCAGAAGTTGTGGGAGTTCTTGTTCAGAGCCGGTTTCACTCTGTTCGTCAACGGTTTATGGCGGAGCTGAAAGAACTACGTAGTAAAGAGCCTGGGATTCACGCCACAGAAAGTGTGCAGAGCTTGATGCTCGGAATGCGTTTCTTCCGCGTGAAGGTAAGTGGAAAGTAATAGATGGATTTTGAAACGTATTGCGACTGAAGAACTGTACGGGGGAGCGATTTGGAAATGCCTCGAGATATTGGAAGATAGTTTTAAACTCTGGCATCCGCGTCCTTGAATTGTTTCTTCAAAGATTGCGCTTAGAATTCTTCCATCGCCTGCTATGATTTTGATTGAAATTGCAAAATTATATTTCAGATGGTACCCATTGAGGAATTCGAAGCGTCCTTCCAGTTTCTTCAAGAATGCGCGCAATATTTCCTGGAAGTGAAAGAAAAGGAAATTAAAAATTCTCTGGCGGGCCTTTTCGTCGAAATTCTTACACCGCTTGCGTCGGTAAGCAGTTTAGAATTTCAGTTCAAACTTGGTGCCAAAATTGCTCAATGGCGTTTCTTCTGCAGCAAGTCAAAACAGAGGTGAATGTTCCTGTGCTCAAGAATTTTGTGGAAGGCCTTTATTCCCAAACGCTGGATTCATCAACGAAGAAAAAGCAGAGCTTGTCCTTATTTCCGCTGGTCACCTGTTTGCTGTGTGTGTCCCAAAAGACTTTCTTTCTCAGCAATTGGCACCAGTTTTTGACGCTGTGCTTGCAGCAGTTGAAGAGCAGGGACTCCAAGATGGCTCGAGTTGCTTTAGGTAATTTGTATCCTCAATTAGTCGAGGTCAGGGAATTTTAATCCTCAACAAATGCTCGCTTTGACTTCTTCGGTTCAATTTAATAATCAGCATCGTTTCCTCCTCGACTTCGAAAATTCTGTGTTTAACAATTATATTACAATATCTGCTTTCATTCGGAGATTGGAGAGCAGTTCGATTTTGTATTATAATCGGCATTCTGTAGAAAAATTGGTTTGCATTTTTCGTTTCTCCCTTGATAATTTGAATGTATACGAATTGCAAGAAATAATTATTTAATAGTTACTGAGAAAAATTCTCTTGCTAATGGTCACTGGGAACAATTCTCTAACGAGAATTATCCCCCGTGTACGTCAAGTACTGGTTTTCCGGAGTGAGAAGTTCAGTACTTCTAGAGTTGTAGTTAAATGGATTGTCGCATGTAAATCGTATTTCTGAAAAAAGTAGGATTTCCTGGATAAATTTATGGCATGGAAGGAGCATTTTACGTTCACGACTTGTTAAATTTTCTTTTCAGAATCACTGTATCGTCTCATTTGGGTGTACATGATTCGCATAAAGTGCGAGAGTAACACCGCGACGCACTCAAGGTTGCAAAGTATCGTAAACTCATTGTTTCCCAAGGGCTCGAAAGGCGTCGTACCACGTGATGTTCCGCTGTCCATTTTTGTTAAAATCATACAATTCATTGCCCAGGTATGCACTGCAGTAATTCGGTTCCTTTTTCTTGGTACTTATATGCACTGTATTTTTATTTCCTGTACAGGAACGATTGGATTTTGCCATGAGAGAAATCATCTTCGAGCTGTTATCAGTCGGGAGGCAAATAAATAAATTCGTGCTCACGCCGGAACGATTTTCTATTGGCTTGAGAGCGTTTTTAGTGATCGCGGATGCTTTGCAGCAAAAGGAAGGCGAGCCTCCGATGCCACAGAATTTCGCACCTCTTCCGTCAGGTTCGACCTTACGCGTGAAAAAGACTTACCTCACGAAGGTCGGTGTGTCTCTTTTTTTTCTGATTGTTTGAGAATCTCCTGAGCACTCGTTTTCAATTCACAGACTCTCACAGACGATACTGCGCGGTCGCTTGGATTGCACACGTACTATCCACACGTGAAGAAAGTTTTTGGTGATATATTGCGTGCTCTCGATAGCCAAGTTGGTCGGCCGTTGATGATGACATCCAGTCAGAATGCTAATAAGGTATAGTACGCTTTATTACTCCTGCGTGATTTTATATTTGTTTCAATGGTTGAAGAATGCCCAAAAACTTAGTCCAGTAGTTCATGTAGCTCATCAGTTGGAGTCACATGCTAGATTTCTGCGGAGCCTTCGAAAATCAATTATCGTAAATCAACCATACAAATGATTGTGATAATGTTTCGAGAAGTCATGTAATTTTTAAGGATTTAATTTTTAAAAAAAAAGGAAAGCGAAAAATTTGCATTCCTGTGATTAAGTCTTAATTCGCGGATTTTCGATCGGTGACACCTCATTAAAAATCTTACCCAGTGTTCAAATTTTGATTTGACCGAGCCTAAAACAGGTGGACTCTATTTCTCTATAAGTAAATTCAAACTGTCGAAGGACCAGAAAAAAATCGTCTTGGAGGCTATTCAGTCTTTGAGAGCCCCTATAACATGGGGAAAGAATCCTATGGAAAACAAAAATATTGGTATGCGGAGAAAATTGTTGTAGAAAAGATTTGTGTAGAGAGAGTCCTCCTGTAAGTAATTTGAAAATTAGCACAAACGAACCGAGTGCCTTTCCTGCCTCAGTTAAACCAAACTTGACGTTAATAACAAATTGGCAGCACCCATGTGATGAGCTGTAAAATCCCGATCTCCGGGGGTGCGACAGAAAAAAAACCTAGATAACTTCTTGAACTTTTAAAAGAATGAAAAAATAAAATTTGAGTCCACGATAATTTTAAAATTGCTATGACCAAATCTGTGTGTACAGATTTTGAGTGCTGTTTAGTAATTTTCAATTGCTGTGTTGCCATTAGGAACCTATCGAAATCATGACTGAAGATCGAAAGCCAAAAATCGATCTGTTCCGAACATCAATTGCTGCTGTTCCGCGTTTGATGCCAGAGGGCCTTTCCAAAACCGACCTGTTGGAACTTTTGTGTCGTCTTACTGTGCATTTCGACGACGAACTTCGCGGGCACGCCTGCCAAAGCATGCAAACCATGACCCACGACTTCCCTACTTGGCGAGGAGATGTCGTTCAAACGTACATCGGCTTTCTAGTGAAGGAAGTGGGTGACACGCATACGCAGTTCGTGGATCAAGGCTTGAGAATTATAATCCAGCTATTGGCAACTTGGAAAAACGCCCTGCATGCGGATGCTGGAGAAACAAAGAATGGGAAGAATGAGAAAAAGAGCAGTGGTAATGCGGATAAGAAAATGCATTTAGCTGCTGGTGGCGTTGATCACAGTCTTGAAAAAAATTCTGTAAGTTGGACTGAGCATTTGCTGCAGCTGAATTCTGCATCTCACTGATCTTTTTTTCTCGATTAATAGGCCTTGATTGAGCAGCACATTGCTGTTCTACATGCTGTTGAAGGCTATGCGATGGTCAAGCTCTGCAACGTGCGGCTTGTTCCTCGACGTTTGGCTGTCACGATTTTGCGCGAAGTGAAAATTCTGGGAAAAACTTTGAGTGAGTTGTACTTCATAAGTGTTGGACAATTCGTTCTTTTTACTTTCAAGCTCAGCCTTTCTTTTTGAGGTGTCAGACAGGGATTGAAGTCGAAACTTCACTGAAAAAACTAAATCGAACGCGCACGTGAATTCATTTGACAAATTTCATATGAAGGTTGCAATCCGATTTTTGGTTGATGATTGCAAGAAAATAAAATGAAACAACGAACGGTCTACAGATCACGTAACATATCAAGTATAGTTTCTGACGTAATAATAAAAAACGAAATAAATATTCGAATAAACGCATTTTTCATCATCACATGAAATAAATTTTTGCGACATCTTCGTGATGGCCAAAAAAATTACGGATTCGGGACGTCGGGGGTTGAAGCGGAAGAGGCCCAGTCTCCCTTGCTGGATGAGTTACGGGTCTTAGAGCCAGAAGATTCTTTTATTTTAAGGGGGATCACCGCACGTGAATGACGAAGAATGGGTTTCGGACGTGTTGGATCAATTATGCCCCACTGTGATTGAAACGTGTTTACCACTTCTGCCTCAAGTTGAAAAAACTGCTTTTTTGAGCTCGCCCTCTGTGGATATGCATTGGCTGGTCGAACGGAGTAACACGATATGGACAGCAGGTAAGTTCGAGCGCATAAAGTTTCATTTGAATTTTATCAGCTTTCTTGAAATGCTTAAGATTTCTTCGCTTTATGAAGTATCCACCCTCAAACAATCTTCAGAAAAGCAGAAATTAGGTGAAGAACCAACTAATTATCCCCGTTTCCTACTCAAGGATCTTGATAGCTCTATTCGATAATTCGTCTCAGGGTGATTGTTTCAAGTGTATTGCTTTCGATATAGTCTGCCTAATTTGTTCGCGCTTATTCGAGACATCGGTATTTCTTTATGTTGAAAACATGTTGAAAACAATAGCGTTTATTGTGGGTTGTAGTCGAATCCAACTAACAGAATGTATTGATGAAAACATTTTTCTTTCAAGGGTTCTTGGAATCGAGTGAGCCCGGGGGCGGTGCAAAATCGGGACTTCCACCGTCTTCCAACCCGACGGGTGATATCAGTGATCCGTGGGCCAAATGTCTCATCGGATTTCTCAACAAAGATTTCATCCATAAGAGATGCAGATCTGCTTCAGTTCACGCCTGGTCGATCTCATTCCACCGTCTGAATGCCCTGTTTTCTGTCATCGATCCCAAGTGAGTTTTTTTCTGTTTATTTTCTTTCGAGAGTTCGTCTATTTATATAAACGTGATCTGATTTTCTTCGTCAAAAATCTGAAAAATGGTGATCATCTCTGATTTGCAGCCCTATTAATGAACAAAGAGCATCATTGTTGAGAAGTGCATCGGCTGTGAAGAAACCCACCACGGAAAAGGACATTAGCTTAGGACTTTGGAAAAACTACGCTGTATTTGCTTGTCGTGTTGTCCCAGCGAATGTTCCGATGGCGATAAGGTGTGCGTCACCGGATTTGGGGCCCAGGTAAACATTTCTTTTAAAAAAAACCATTTCTCTTTCCGATGGATTTTCATACGCGGATGGAATCTTTCGGAATAAACGTTTTTTTCCATCAAACTACCGGTATCAATAAATCCGAACAAGTATACTTCGGTGAGGCAGCGCATTCTCATCGGTGCCGTTATCCAGGAACTGTGCAACATTTTCCAGACTTCCGCGCTTTGTCCAATGTTTCACAAAGTTCTTAATTTGGAAGTAGGCAGGTCCACGTGATTGTATTATTGGAAGGGATTTTATAGATTTTTTCCTGCTTTTTACTTTTCAATTTTTCGCCCAACCGGATTTAATTCGAAAGATGACAAAGTGCTTCAAGAAATAACCTACGGTCAGAAAGTTTTTGTCAATTTTTTGATGCACTCTGTTGAACTGAGACCTTGTAAGAAATCGAGACAAAGAAGTACGCAAGATCGTGGCTGTGAGCAAAAAAATAAGGCGCTCCTGGTACTGTACTAATTTCTGTTCAGATACAAACTCCCGTGTGCGGTGATCGAAAAATGAACTCAAGTATACTTCGAAACGTTTATTGAGGTTGTATATATTTGGAGGAATTTTCTTTTCTACCGAATGCGTGGGTCTCATGGATAAATCGTGCAAAGCTGTTTATTCTATGCAGTGATAAGCTCGTCGACGATTTTCTCTGGTGTGACAACCAATCATTGAGTACAGTAGAGAAAAAACGGAAACTTTATCGTTCATTTTTCATGCTTGGAGAACGTAATGTGGGAGTACATACGTACTTTTTTATTAGAGTAGGTTCATAAAACCCTTAACGAAGTTAACACGTGACCTTGACCTTTAGAAAAGCGTGCAATGCAATGATCATATGTGGGTGGACTCAAGTCGACTTGCAGTAATTTTGTTTCCACTGATTTAGGAATGGAACATGCTAGGTTTCATCTGATCCATTTTCGTGATATTATTTTCTGCACATCGCATGAAATACTGATGATCAAGTAGTTCAGCCGCTGTACGGAATAAATTTTGTTTCATTTATTGGCGAATGTCCGTAGAAGTCAATTTAAGGTTATCGTCGGCTCTGCAAGTCTTGGTGCGTGTTACGTTCGCGGAATTCAGCTGATAATCTCTTGAAAAGTTTGTCCTCTTGAAACCTTTTTTTATGAAATCATAAACTACGCATCTACGAGACACTGTCGGGGAATGTTGTGTTCACTATACTCACTTAGATATCGGAGAGATTTTAGATTATTGGGACCTCTTCCGGAAAAGTGCTTTCGTAGTTCTCTTTGATGTAGCGAAATGCATTTTCCTCGGCGAAGCAAGGTCACCGATTCCCTAGTTTTATCTGAAAATTTTAGGAGCAAAAAGATCTGAACGCAGAGATTGTATCTATTGAAAATGCTGATGTTGAAAACACCGCGATGAATTTCAGGGCAGTCATTTTTCAAGCAAAGTTTTCGTAAATGATTTATGGGAAGATCTTCGGTTTTTTTCTCATGGCTCATAGCGGCGAGTTTCGAATTTGGATTTGGATTATTTCATATTTTAATGCATGAATAGGATTTTATTTGCTTTGGCCCCCTATACCGGTTTGTTGTTGTTTCGAATTGATTAGTCTTGAATATCGGTCGGGTATTATCGCCTTCGGATTTCCCCTCAGTACAGTATTCATGGTACAGTACTTCCTTCCAAATTAACTAATTTACTCATTCATATCTGTTTGTTCGTTGAAACTGAGGAAAATTCTTTGTAACCTACTGTTTATTTGACGGAAAGGCATACATTCTCAAATAGAGCCGAAGAGTTTCCGACTATTCCAGGAACCATGTTATTCCGCGTATTTTTCTTGCACACTAATTTTTTTCTGCAGTAACGTTCGCTTTTTTTATGAATTTGGAATGCTGCACCTCTTCATTTATTTCCATTTTTCTGCCAATTATCAAGTACTGTATTCCCTATAACCTATGCAGAGAATCATGACCAAACATTTGTTACACAGATTACAGCGAAAATACTTTTGTTGAAGCGAGATTTGTATGACGTTACGCGGACCCCTATGAAGAAACTGCTGAGACCAAGAGAAAATTTCTCTGAGCAAGATCCGTTTTAATGGAATTCTGCTGTATCTACAAATTCTTTTTAAAAATTTTCCACGTCTGTTGAATTGACATGTATGTGCCTTTTCTTGCAAGTTCGTCACCGGAAAGCTGGCTTGGCGAGAAAGCAGACGGGCACAAAATCAATGCCCTTTCGCACATCATGAGTATTGTTCCGCAATCCCCGACCGCGCTTTACAAATTGCTGACGCCGTTACTGCGCTGCGAATCTGTCGGAGTTCGAGACGCTGCGGTCCTTGCACTTGGGGCCGTGAATCACGCTGCGATCAAGTGAGACAATTTGGACAATGTTCCTCTGACCTCCGAACACTCAACCTGATGAGGTCGAGGCTGTAGGGATTAATTTTTCTGCGGCTATTGCGGAAATCGGTAAAATAAAATACTTCAGGAATAGTCTAGAAGGTTTCCATATCCTTTTTTATGCTCCTTATGACCCCCCCTTTTTTTAGAGGTACAATCGAACCTCGATAACGCGAACCTCCGAAAGTCGAATGCCTCCCTAAGACGATCTTTTTTCGAATCCCCGTCTGAATTCCCTTGCAAAAAATGCATTAAAAAGCTATATCTCAGAGGAATTTTCCTCTCAAGCCTTCCTAACTCGAATTTTCTGAGGCCTTCTGGGTATTATTTTAGTGACCTAGGAAATGGAAAATACTGTACCAAAGCTTGATGTGTTTTGAAAGAAAGTGAAAAACTGGGAAAATGAACCTTTGCTTCCAAGTTCAGCATCTTGTCAACTCATTTATGAAGCAATTTAAGGCCCAGAATATCAACATTTACGATTTTCTGCAATTCTTTTTTTCCCCCTCCAACAAAAACGCTCGTTAGTCTAACTCGAAACCTTCCTGACCCGAATTTTTTTGCTTTTCCCTTGAAAGTCGACTTGAATAGATTTTAATGCACTTTCAAATTTAGGTTTGTGTTGAAGTTGAGAATGATGCGTTCCGTTCTGTGGTGTCAACAGCTGCGTTATCATCAAGATTTTGTAATTCACGTGCCTTGCCAATATTTCTGATAAGCTTGGATTTTAATTGTGATCAATGAGCAGAGATTTAAAAATAAAGACAACATTTTATGTATGGTGGGTCGTGTGTACCGTGTTCGGAAGGTTTGATCAAGTTTTTCTTTTTTTGCAGAGACCTGATGGAGGAACTGGTGTCTTACATCAGGGAAGCGTTGGATCGAAAGCAGGAAAATATGCGACGTCGTCGAAGACGAGACGCTTTGCGCCTCCAGCTTGTTCGAGTCTTTCATTTGATCGCTCAGATTGGTACATTCGGAATCAGGTAAAAACAGTGTTGAACGCAAGGGATTTTAGATCTTCTGTATTTTCGTTTAGCTCCATCAATGAAAAGATCGAATAATTGTGTGCGTGAAGCGTTTATTTATGAAATTTTTTGTGCGAACTTTTTTCGAACGATTTCTACGAACGGTTTGCGAGTGAATTGCAGGCAAGACAAATTTTCTGCGAAATGCTAAATGAAGTATGATTTTTATTTTGGTGATCATGAACTCGTGAAAACGAATTCTTTTTGCAATTTTGGAGATGTGATTACAAATAATTACGCACCTCTTCATTTCCTTAGCTTGTTTCACTATTAATGACAAATTAGCCCAACGGGCATTTTTTCTTGAAAGCTCAGCTCGAGAATTTGTCGAGCTGTTCAGTGAAAAGCGTCTTTTCATTTCATAGCGGCATATTCTGCTTTGAAATGTTCAATATCTTGTTGAATAATGTGGCAATAATTTTTTCAGCTCGTGTGTATTGGACAAAGACCAACAGAGTCTACATCCCTCTTTTGTTGAGTACATTGACGGTGCTCGGCTTTATTTAGAGTCGGACAACGACAAAGACGTACCCGCATTGAAGGACATCAAAACCCATTTTTGCGGCTTTATAACCAGCCTAATTTCCAGTTTTTCACGTGAGTTCTCTTCAAATTTTCTTTTCTTTTATTTAATTTTCTCCATCAGTCAGAATGTCCTGTGTATCTCGGTAGTCTGATTAATATCTGGCCTTCAAATGAGTTTGTCCATCCATCCTTGAACGATAAAATTTTTATACGGAACGCCCATCTCTGATGGAACTAAAGGTTAAACATTTGCCTCCGTCAACCTTTGAATTATTATTTTTTCGTTAGAAAAAGTGCAGCTCCAGCCTGCAAACCTTACATGTTTTTCACCCTTGACTTGCAAGTATCGGCGAATTTGTTTTCGAAGATCCTCTGATGAACTTTTAACTTCTCCGTATTATGCCCGAAAATCTTGCATTAACCGTAAGTTATACTTTTCCACGCAGACTTTTTTTTTTAATTCTGAAACATGAATAATCTTCTGAAAGAGAATATTTTATACTGTACTGACTTTAACTGACGGTAAGAGTATGGTTTGGTTTTCCGTACTGCTGCACCGAGATCTTTAAACTGAAAGGTTAATCTTACTGATATCATTCAACCCATATCTGAATACGATGTGGTCCTTTTGAATTACCTGTCGTTTGTTCTATGTTCTGCTTCAAATCTAAATATCTCAGCAACGTATACCGCTTTTATAAACAGCTGTGCCCCGAGAAAGTCGTGCGAATGTCTGTGGAATCTTGTATAAAAAAAAGCAGAAAAAGGAGAAAATTCATCACTACCCTCATTCATCTGCTGTCATCAAGGAAAAAAAACTGAAATCGAAAATATTTCCATTAATTAAAAATATGTCGTTGCATTATTTTAGGGTACTGTATTTTAAATTCTGTTTGTGAACGGTACATACCATCCCTTGAATTTTATTCAGAAAAGTACAAATGCTGTAGTATGAAAAGGATGGATTCGCGTTCGGTCGTATTTGAGGCTTTTTATGTTGAGTACTGCACACAATCTCCATTTAATTTATTCCATCTCTTCGTAGTCGATGTTCGACAAAGCTTGCTGAGCCCGGATCTGCGTCGGAACTTATTCCGCCTGTTTTCCTCCTGGAGCGGCAAATATGGTACTGTAAGCTTGACAGCCCAGCAACTCAAGACGCAACAACTGCTTCAGGAGCAAATCGTTCAAGACCGGCTGACTGACTTCGAGTTTTCTGCTTTGCAAGCCCAGTGCGCCAGTCTGTGCTGCGGCCGCTGCTTCGACCACAAAGAAAAATTGGACGACGGAGTTCTGTATCCATGGCTGAACAAGATAATGTCTTCTGCCGACGAAAAGGTTCGTGCGGCATGCTTTTTTCTTCTTTTATTTTTTCTTGCTTTACCCAAGAAGAAAGAATTTCGAAAATTGCCTCTCCTTGGAACAGGTATTCTCGTGCTTTCTTGCTCGCATTTATGTGTGGATTATACCGAAGAACAAGTTCACGAACTGTCTTGAAAGATTACTCAGCACATGAGCGCAGCGTTGGGCCGAAAATACCTCCTATTCGTTCTTGACCGTTGTACATATTCCAAGTGTTTGTGCACGATGTTTACAACCCTGGGATGAATATTGGATGCGCAGTAGATTGTGATTGAAGTATTTTCGTCGCTGAAGGAAATACAATCGTAACAGGAGTACATACCAAGGAGGAAATAGTCTCATATAAAATGAATTAAATACCATTACGGAATTTATAGTTTTCAGATTACAGTAAAAGGTCCGTTGTACAGTATTATTTGGTCGAACGAAAAATTTTAAAGTTCATTTCCCGTTATCAAAGTTTGTAAATACTTTTCATGGATGATGCAAAAATACTTTTTTCAGTTTTCGGGATTATTCACTCAATATTCCGACCGTCATTCTTGTCGGAAAAGCTTCGACAGGAATATCAAAACGTTGAGTACATTATTTCGACTTTTATAAACCGTGCTCGTTAGTATATTTTGTGGTCTCCTTGGAATCGCTTCCGTCACGAAGTGGAATTTTCTTCACCTATTACAAATCTTGAATTTCTCGCGCATTTTTATTCATGCGGGTAGTTGTGTAAATTCTGATTTCACATGGATATCAATGTACAGTATCATAAAATCAAAGCGTATGCGGTTAATTGAGCGGACTAAAGCACGAGCAGCGGTTACAAATAATGCTTTCGATGGTTCGAATCTTCATCATTCAGAATAGAAAACCTTATGATTGTCACCTATATTATGTCAATTAGTTTATTTTTTCTTGAAGGTTCGGCCAAATGTTAATGCGTTGACGAGACTTGATGGTGGTGGTGTGAACTGCATGTTGCCAGTACAATTCTTTGTTTCTTGTACTGCTAGGAAAGGAAGAATGAATAAGGAAAAATCCACGGAATTCCCACTGTTGATAAATCGGATCAGTTTCCGCTTCTTAATTATATTCTGATCTCTGGTCATTATTCTCTCTTTTTTCCCCTACAAGACGCGAAGGCGTTTGTTGGTTCAATTTTCCACATTCCATTCGTTGATTTAATTCCGCTCCATTCGGCAATTTTTCTTCTTCCCCGCGAAGATTCGTTTCGGATTAAACGTGTTTATGGTGACACTCGTGATCTTTGAATTTTTCATTCCGCGTATCTAATCTACCGGCCCTTAATGAATAATTTTATGCAGAGCATGATTGACGCGATTAACGCAGTCCCTGCGTTGGAACAACAGGACGTGCTGTGGTATGTTTTCTCCCCGGATCTCATCTCGACTTCTCCCGTATCTCTTATGAATGAACCTTGTTTATCTTCTGGATTGGTACTATTTCGTGTTAAATTAGACCCTTTCCTTGCGCCGGTCGGTATCCGATTATGGATCACGTGTCAGGATCATCTGTCGAACCACTTTTTTTCTCTTTCAAATTCTGCTTGGGCAGTAATTGTGCTTGCTCACTGATGCGACCTTTTCTGGTTAAGTGGAATCACGTGTCGACATTCCTGAAGAATTCTGGAGGTTTCAGGGCTGTTGTGAGCACCTTCGTAGAGGCGTAACTTGATTTGTGGTGATGGGGCATCTGTGGGTGTTTTTGTTGGGACGAGATTTTCTACTAGACGCTTGACGGACCAGGAAAGGCTCTTTTTCTCCGTGATGAGGTGTCAAGAGGTTATTTCGTTGAGACTCCTCGTGTTTTGTCCCCCAGGTGGTCTATTTACGGCGTGTTGCCTTTTGAAGGACTTGTTTTCGAGGTGCAACGGTGCGTGGAAATCCTGAAGGAAATTAACATTTTGGTCAGGGAGATTGGAATACGTACTGTACTTCTCTGTGCTGTCGATGTATTGCTCCGTAGCTTTTCCGATACTGGGACAAAACATATTTTCTCTGAGATAACTTTTGCCCACATTAAGATCACGTCTTTCTTCTGATTTTCCGAGTGGAGTTGCATTGTTCTGAAGAATGTTTGTGTAATCGAAAAATTCTTAATCTAGGATTCGGGGAAAAAAGTCAAGGAGAGAGACAGGAAATATCGTTACTCATAATATTGGAGCGACTGTGCAGCAGTACCGCACTTTGTTTTAGCGGTTAGTTCAGAAGGCTGTCGGAAATTCCCTTTGGTTTGGCTGACCTAGAATTGTGGAGGAAATCGTGGTCAAATTTAACTCCAAAAGTGAGGTTAGCCTGAGATAAACTATGAATGTCACTTTCGGGATCCCGATGCATTTTGGAGATTTGACAGATAAAACAGAAAATGCTTGAACCCCAGGATGAGCCAAACGTTTTTAGAATCCTAGATTTTTTTAAACCAAGAGTGTGAGGTGTATTAAAAAAAATTATCGCTTGTTCGAAGAGATAATTCAACCACAGTACAGTATTTTAATCGCACAATAATTCATACCGGGTAATAAGAATATTTTCTTCGACTCGCATTATTCATTGCGGCAATGCTGAAGGCATGTACGACATACTGTACCCTATTTTATCTTCAGAAAATCGTGGATTTCTTGCAATATCCGAAGATTTGGGAGACGTATGGTCAGTGCCCTTTGGGGAATTATTCCTTAAAAGTACAATATTTTTCTTCGAGTTGTTCGTTCCTCTTCATATCTTTTAGTGATACGGGATAGTATAAATGGGACGGGAATCCCCAATCATTAGTCAAGAGATATCACGTCGTACGTAATTTATCCTCCATGTCCCGGGAAATGTCAATTACAGAGATCAGGTTCTATGTCGGGGGAATCGTGGGACGGTTGAGACGGTTACGTACCCTGATAGCCTCTTACTTTTGCGGAACATGAAATCCGGCCGAGAAAATTCTTCTTGGTTCGTGTATTTTTACTGTTCGGCTCTTCGGATGAACGATTTATCCAGACTCTTTCTCGGACTTCTTCTAAAACGAAGACGATGTGCCAAAAGATTGATCTGAAAAGAGGTTTCACATCCTAACTTTCTGGCATTTGAAATGGTTGTTCCGGAAGAGAGATCCGCAAAGACTTTCGAAGGATGGCTTATTATTATTTTTTGTGTGTGGAAAATTTGTTGGGTTCGGGTGCCTTTCAAGTGAATGCCTTGCCTTCTGTAGTTCTGTGCCTGTCAATTTTCCACTGAAATTACTGCCGAACCCTCGATAGAGGAGACTATGTTTTCCGGTCATCACTCTTGCCGAGCGTGGAAACGCAAGATAACTAGGGCATTCTCCGCTTGGTGGAGAAAAAATATGAAAGTTTGTCGTGATTATGCCAGAGCCGTTATTGTTGCGATCCATCAGTGTCCAGTTTGAAAGAAAATGTTGGGAGTTGTTGCAATACTGTATTACGTTTTTGGAGAATGTTGAACTTACCTTTCATGTGTCCTTTCAAGTTAAGTTTTTGTTCCGAGTTCTTCAGTCTTCGTCTCGTTGGTCTGCGTTGACGGAAGGACAAGATATGTTTTATTCTCCTGAACGTCGAGTCACTCGATTTCGAGTATGATGGATTTTCAGTGACCCATTAAATTGAGAGCGAAACTTGACCTGGTTGAAATTCCTCGTATTTCCGGCGTTGGAGAAATTTCTCTTTCTTATCTTTTTAAATGCAGGATTCCAGGCCAAATTCCGCCTATTTTTCCTCAATGCCCGTCGGGGGGAGAATTCCGATGGGTTAACTTTAGATGATGGTCCCTGGGGAAAATCTTGCAGCTGGAAAAGTACCACTGAAAATGTTATGCTCTATGTTCATGTTCATAATGTCAAGAAATGTATGAGATTATGACGTTCTTCGGGCGGTACACGATATTTTACTCTACGCGTGATTTGAGTACCGTACACATGTAAAATGCTTTTGTTTTATTGGATTTAATTAATGTAAACTTCTTGATTTGTTTGCTTATCATTCTCCGAAGAACTCACAGGATTTAAAAATAATTCGTTTCCCGAAGACTCGTGACATGTTGATCACTAAAATAAGAAAAGCTTGAAACGAATGTGTGGCAACGCACATTTCGAAAGCCTCTTTAATGCAGGAAAACCAGAGAAGAGACGGAAGAGAACAAAGGTTGGATACAGCTGTGCACAGATGTAAATATAAAGCATGTCTCTTGATAAGTTGCACATTAACAATCAATGCTAAACGGAAATAGTCATCACAAATATACCACTGAGGTTCTTGAAGAGTAAGAATTAATTTTTCAGTGGGCTGGGCTGCAGATTATCTCCTGAGTTCATTTTCGAAATGGTTTCGTTTATTTTCGAACTCGTTTCGTCTATCTTCGAAATGGTTTCGTTTATTTTCGGTGGTCTTTCTATACCGAGTAATCTGTGGGCTTTTCCCCCACGCTTCAGAGGCCCGGAGAATTGAATAATTTCCTAATCTTTTTCTTTGTCGTCATACACCTTTCATGCTGAGATTCAAAGTTTTTTGCACGCCCAGAATGATTCGCCGGTATCACTTATCGTATACTATATAAATAAGCGGAGTCTCACAGCGGAGATATTTAGAAATAAATCTTGCAGAGAACGAGTTTTCTCGCGGTTTCTGTTGTTCAAAACCTAAATTCCTTTATCCTCGATGTACGATGCCTGCTTTGTTATGGTGTTTTCAGATGCTCTTGTAACTTCGTTTTTCGAGATTCTGCCGTTTTTTTGTGCCAATTTTCGCTCAAAATGCTTGACGAGAGCTTCGGGAGAACGTTGCGTGCTCTAGTCTACGGCTTATCGGTTGAGAACAACCGAAGAGCTCCTGTTTTAAATATACTGTATCATGTAACTTTATCTTGGGAGGAAACGTGTTTTCCTCCCTCGCTATATGGGCACCCGAACCGATTTTCGGCTTTTGTATCGAGGTGTGAAGGCATGCAAATTTCCTAAGCCCTGGTCGCACTGATAGTCTCTAAACAATAGGCGTAAAAAACACTGGTGGTCGATATACAGGATGTTCCGAAGAATTGCACACGCAGTTATTATATTTTGAAACTGACATTTATCCCCAATTTTTTTTTGCAAAATAGATTTCAAAAAGAGATGCCAACGACAGCTGATAATCCTCTTCGCGATAGAGTTTTTTTATTGGTAACATTGAAAAGTCGTTTTAAACGTGATTTTTATTTCAAAAATATTGGCACAATCCGTTTGCGAAGGTGAACGCGTGAAGTACCTGATAAAATTTTACATAATACATACGACTTTTTTAGAATCCATAGACGTTAACGGGCCAAATTAGTGAAGGAATCCATCGGAAAATATGAAGCTAAAATTGAATGATTTCTTTTTTCTCGTCGTTCTTGAATTTAAAAGTAAGAATGGTCGAGGATTTATTGCCGTATTCACTCCAGTACCACGCGAACCTTTTTTCCCTCAAAATTGACAGATAAAAAGGGGAGATGGTGTGTTTCATAGGCGGTTCTACATTTTTAGAAAATTTGTAGAAGTCAACGTATAAATTATACAATACTTGATTCTAATAGGAAATGTTGACACATTTTAGCAGAGAAACTTATTCTGATGAACAATTAAGATTAGTTGAATTCAGGTTGAATTAATGTTTCAATTCAAATTCGGGTGTTCGTATTTTTGAAATGTTGCTGGTTTAGAGTGACTAGAATAGAAGCGCATCCTGCTTGGGAATACAATCTAATCAAAATTTTAGACGGAAACGTCCTTGTGCATATCTTACTCAGGGGCATGTGGTACTCGAGTAAGCAGTACTGTATTTAGTGAATTATAGTAAAATAAAAACCTGTCCCCTTCGGGTCCATTCTGTATTCTGGGCCTTGGTTCATGCGTTGTTTGCATGCGACTTTCATAACTAACCCCTTTTTATGCCTTGCTGGGTGATTCGAAAAGGTGCTTTTATGGTCGTGGGCCTGCAGAAGATTGTTACGCCCAGCTCTTGCTAAATATAGAAAGGTAGAATAATTAGAAATATAAAAGGTATCGGGCTTTCCGTGAGGAAAACGATAGATCTAATCGAAGCTCGAGCAGGATTCTCTCCGACAGAATTATATTCCTATTTGTTTTGTTCTTTAGATTCAAGTTTAAAAACAATGGCTCATGTTTTCCGTTGTTAGGCCCATGTGGGTCATCTCTGCGCTTTATAATCAAAGTTGCAAAATGTACTGAATCTTGTATTTCATGCTTCGTGTCCGTTTTTATAGGTGGCTGCTCTTGGACACGACACGTTGGTACTTCTGTTGGAATTCAACTTCGAAGTCGGCGCTCTTTTGGATTGGGCAGTTGATCGATGTTACACAGCCATTCCTCAAGTCGGCGACTCTTGTTTCCGTGCCATCGCCGCCTTGTTCGGGTCCAGGTAAGACATTTTAATTCTCTGGAGTAACGTAATTTTATTCATATGTCTGCATGATTCATTGGCATGTACGAGGTGGGATGAAGTCATTCAACATGGTTTCCTTTGGAAACATGGAATTAATGTTGTGTTCGAAAATGCGTTGGGATTGTGACGGTATGAATAATGTTAATTGCGGAAATGATGCAAAGCATGATTGAAAATTATCTGAGTGAGACATCGCTGAGTCGAATTCATTTTTGGCGAACTGAAGTTGCTATGAAAAAAATCTTTGAAGGACGAAGAATCATGATTTAATTTACCTGCATTTGAAGCCTCTGAGAAGATTTTTGTTACTACACCCTAACCAAATTCCCTTCACTGCGAATATTGAACCACTTCCCCCGTAAGGATCCCCCCAGCGTCAGAACCCACTTGAACCTCGCGGGAGCGACAACTCTCGCGTGGACTCACCCCTCGCGAAGGGTGGCAAGAGCAAAAAACTGCAAGTAC